ACTTTACTTAGCCCAACCCCAGGGGCAGGGACAAGTTCTTTTTCATACCATGTTTAGGCAGCGCCTGGCACAAAGGGGACCCTACATGTTCCCACAACACAAGGGTTCCAGGACTATTGAGGCCAGTGTTTGCAGAGGTCTCCACTAACTGGACATCTCGGTTTGTGGGCACTTGGCCTGAGATTCCTCACGATTGAGGCCCCCACACAAAGAAGGACACTTTTGGAAACGGTGACGTGTTCCCATCACACTGAGTCTGTGGCTGCGCCAGGAGCTGGGCCAGATCTCCTGGTTCCCAGCCCAGCGCTGTGTCCACCAAGCCACCGCTTCTCATGCAGCCCCTGCCTCATTCTACCCCAACCAGGGCACTGCCTGGGGCAGAGCCTGGCGAACAGAAGGGATGGGATCACGGGATTAAACAGTGACTCACGGTTCCTACGCACAAGGGGCAGCGTTAAAGTCGCCTCCCTGCCCCAAGTCTCCAGGGGCTGTTGCTCCACCCTGGCTGGGGAACCCCCCAGTGACTCCGTCCCCGCTCCCCGGCTGGGCATCCAACCTGTTGGGGTCAGGGCTCAGGGCAGAGCCTGGCTCTGAGCATCCCATTGGCACCTAGCCCCTGTGACGGACTGGCTGGGGGTGGGGCTGGGAATGGGGACGCCGAGCCGGGCCCCTCACCTCTCACCACTAGCTCCACGGGGTCGCTGGGGTACGACACGGTGAACGGCTCCGATCTGCTGTGATAGGAGCAGCTGTAGCTCCCGCCGTGCTCCCGGCGCACGTTGCTGATGGGAAACACAGCCTCAAACCCGTCCAAATCCACAGGGGCGAAATGGTGTCGCTTTTTATACAGCACGAACCACACGCCCCGGCGCTGCCCCCAACACCGGACGGTCATGGCTCCCCCCAGGGAGACCCCCCCGCTGGGGCTCAGAGAGATGTTGGGTTTGGGGTAGCTGGGTTCTGCAGTGGGAAGCAGACAGGCCGTGAGATGCAGGCTCCGTCACTCACTCCTGGGGTCCGTCCTCACCACGCGGCCTCAGTGGTGGGTCAGACCCAGTGTCCCTGGGGACGGGCTCCTGGATGCCTTTCCACAGGGGCCAGAGTTTCCTCTGACCCCTGGGCTAACAGCATGAGACACAGAGCAACCCCAGCCCCTGGGGGCCAGAGCTGTGCTCCTTAGCGGGTGACAGGCCAGTCCAGTCTCCAGGGTCCAGTCACTGCCTGGATTCTCTGCTGGGAGGGCTGGGAGCCAGGACTCCTGGTTTCTCTCCCTGGCTCTAGGAAGGGAGTGGCTTCTAGTGGGGTGAGCAGGGAGGATGGGGCCCAGGTCTCCTGGGTTCTGTGCACAGCACCACCACTGACTTGTAGGGGACTGTGCAAGTCTCTACTATACAATGAGATTTATAAATTTCAGCTCCGCCAATCACCCCCTAACTGATGTGTTGTCTGGGAAAGGCCCCCCTGCTCTGCAGCTCCCCCTGGGGGCAGGGATCCCTCCTTCCTCTGCCCCAAATCTCCAGTGGCTGCTTCTCCCCCCTGGCTGGGGAACTCCCCCAGTGACTCCATCCCCGGCCAGGTGTCCCCTCTGCTGGACCCAGGGATCAGGGCAGAGCCTGGCTCTGAGCGGCCCATCGGTGTACAGAATTCTTGTGGGTCTGGCAGGGTGTGGGGCTGGGAGCCAGGACACTGAGCCGGGCCCCTCACCTGCTACAATGATCTCGACGGGGTCGCTGGGATCTGACCAGCGATTCTGATCTGTTATGGAGCGATAGTCGCAGGTGTAGCTCCCTCCATCTTCCCGGCTGACGCTGGGGATGGGAAATTCAGCCACAGTCCAATCAGGCACCGACTGCGCCTGCAGGTTCGGGTGTCCAGCTTTACGCAGAAAGAACTCCATGCCCCGGTACCGACCCTCACAGCGGATGGTGACACTTCCCCCGAGTGCCACCACCCTGCTGGGGCTCACCCAGATGGTGGGTTTGGGGTATTCTCGCCCTGCTTTCAACAAGAGACAGGAGTTAAACAGGGGAGACACAGCCCCCCGCCTCTCCTGCCCCAATTCAGTCCATCCGTCATTTGGCCTCTCTAGGAGTCTATCCCCTACCAGGGTTGGCACTGGCTGCCCATGGGGCTCAGGGGCAGGGGGTTCACCCAGACATAGCTCAGGACCCAGCTGCATGAGAGATCACCTGCTCCCCCTCAGCCCCACCACAAGCCAGCCAGGGAGCCTGACCAGTGGGCCCTCTGCAGCTGTGCCCCCCGCCCTGTGGTTGGAAACAGTCTGTGACTGGAGGGAGTCACACAAGACCAACCTTTCCTCAGGCCTTGGGAACAGGGGGGCTGTGAGTGCAGGGGAGGGAGCTGTTGGGGGTGGTTCTGGGATAGGGGAGGATCTGGGGGGTTCTCCGCATGGCTGCATTGACCGGGAATGTTTCAGTTACCCTGGAGCCCTGACCACCGGGCGAGCAGGACAGGAGAAGGCCCAGAACCCCGACCCTGCTCCTCACAGAAGCACCATAGTGGGGACAGGGGAAGCCTTAGCACCAGGACCTCCATGGCTGCCCCAGGACGGGAGGACTCTCGCTACCCGCTGTGGCTACAGGACTGGGGCACTCTGACTCCCCACTGCACCCCGGGGCCAGGGCGGGGGGACAGAGCTTCTCTGGTCTGGGGGACGCAGTGGGGGCTGCGAGGCAGAAAGTAGAAAATGGGTTGCGGGGCTGCAATGGGGGGATGGAATGGGGCAGATACGTGGGTGGAACAGGGGCGGGGCCCCAGAGAAGGGGCAGAAAGGGGTGGGGCTGTGGGAGGGGACGCAGGCTGAGGAGGCAGAACAGGAGAGTGACCGGATGGGCAGCCCCTGGGCCCTGACTCCTTTGAGTGCCCCCAGTGCAGGGGCAGCCGGGGGATCATCCCTTTGGAAAGCCCCCTGCTCTGCAGCTCCCCCTTGAGGCAGGAATCCCCCTCCCTCGCAACTGAACCTCCAGGAGCTGCTGCTGCCCCCTGGCTGGGAAGCCCCCTAGTGACACTGTCCCCACTCCCTGTCCAGGCCAGTCCTAGGGCTCTGGGCAGAGCCTGGCTCTGAGCATCCCATTAGGGTGCCGAACTTTTGAGGGTCCGGCTGGGAGAGGGGACGTGGAGCCGGGCCCCTCACCTACTACCACCAACTCCACGGTGTCGCTGGGCTCTGAGGAGACGAAGGGCTCTGATCGGGGCCGGTAGCTGCAGCTGTAGCTCCCTCCGTGCTGCCGGCCCACAGTGGGGATGCGGAACTCGGCCCTGTCCCCAGCAGGGTCCATGTGTCGCTGCGGGTTCAGGTCTCCAGTCTTGTGCAGGAAAAAGCTCACGTCCCGGCGCTGCCCCTGACACCGGATGGTGACGTCTGCCCCTAGGGGGGTGACCCCAGTGGGGCTTAGAGAGATGGAGGGTCTGGGTAAGTTGGGATCTGCGCACAGGAGACAGACTGTGAGAACCAGACCTGGGCACCCACCCAGCCCCATCCTTCAGCTGCAGAAGAGGAGAGTGAGGGGGGATTTGATAGCAGCCTTCAACTACCTGAAGGGGGGATCCAAAGAGGACGGAGCTCGGCTGTTCTCAGGGGTGGCAGATGACAGAACAGGGAGCAATGGTCTCAAGTTGCAGTGGGGGAGGTCTAGGTTGGATATTAGGAAGTTCTATTTCACTAGGAGGGTGGTGAAGCACTGGACTGGGTGCCCTAGGGAGATGGTGGAATCTCCATCCTTGGAGGTTTTTAAGGCCCAGCTTGACAAAGCCCTGGCTGGGATGATTTAGTTGGGGTTGGTCCTGCTTTGAACAGGGGGTTGAGTAGACACCTCCTGAGCTCTCTTCCAACCCTAATCTTCTGTGATTCCCCAGCTGGCCCGAGGCACGGGCAGATCCAGGGGCCCCCTGGCAGAAATTCTCTTCCAGATCCAAGAGTTTTCCTGAGCCAGAATCCCGGCCCTGCGAGCTGGGCTCCCAAACCCACAGACACGGAGCCGCGACGGCCTAGTTCTTGGGTTCTTCATATGCCGTGTGTGGCTCCTGCCTCATTCACTGTGTCCGGCCTGCCCTGAACACAGAGCGACTCACGGGCTGGACTTTGGCGCCTGGCATGGCAGGGCCTGAGCCCCACACAGGAAGGGAGTCAGCCCCCTGGGAGGCAGGGAGGGGTCTTTATCCCCATTCTACAGGTCACAGACAGATTCACTTTCCTTAGTGAGCTTCCAGGGCCAGGGACTGTCTCTTCACTGTGTGTTTATGCAGCACCTGGCACAGCGGGGCCCTGATCATGGCGGGGGCCCCGGGCCCTACATGCTCCCCCAACACAAGGGATCCAGCGCTATTGAGGCCAGCGTTTGCAGAGGTTTTCAGTAACTGTGGGGGTCTCGGTTTGTGGGCGCTCGGCCTGAGATCCCCCAAGATTGATGCCCCACACAAGGAAGGAAACTTTTGAAAACTGCGACATGTTCCCATCACACAGAGACTGTGGCTGTGCCAGGTGCTGGGCCAGATCTACTGGGTACAAGCCCTATGCTGTGTCCACCAAGCCACCGCTTCTCCTGCAGCCCCTGCCTCATTCAGCCCCAACCAGGGCACTGCCTGGGGCAGGGCCTGGAGAACAGAGGGGGATGGGATCACAGGATTAAATAGCGACTCACGGTTCCTACACACAAGGGGCAGCATTAAAGTAGCCTCCCTGCCCCGAGTCTCCAGGGGCTGCTGCTCCCCCCTGGCTGGGGAACCCCCAGTAACTCTGTCCCCGCTCCCCGGCTGGGTGTCTCCACTGCAGGGTCAGGGCTCAGGGCAGAGCCTGGCTCTGAGCGTCCCATTGGCACCGAGTCCCCGTGAGGGTCTGGCTGGGGGTGGGGCTGGGAGCAGGGACGGCGAGCCGGGCCCCTCACCTCTCACCACCAGCTCCACGGGGTCGCTGGGGTACGAAACGGCGAATGGCTTCAATCTGCTGTGATAGTAGCAGCAGTAGCTCCCACCGTGCTCCCGGCTCACGTTGATGATGGGAAACACACCGTCAAACCCCACTGAATCCACAGGTAGGAAATGGCGTCGCTCTTTATTCAGCACGAACCGCACGCCCAGGCGCTGCCCCCGACACCAGATGGTCACGTCTCCCCCCAGGGAGACCCCCGCGCTATGGCTCAGGTAGATGTTGGGTTTGTGGTAGCTGGGCTCTGCAGTGGGAAGCAGACAGGCCGTGAGACGCAGGCCCCGTCACTCAGTCCTGGGGTCCGTCCTCACCACATGGCCACAGTGGTGGGTCAGACCCGGCGGCCCTGGGGACGGGCTCCTGGATGCCTTTCCACAGGGGTCAGAGTTTCCTCTGAGCCCTGGGCTAACAGCATGAGTCACGGAGCAACCCCAGCCCCTGGGGACCCAGATCTCTGCTCCCTAGCAGGGGACAGGCCAGTTCAGTCTCCAGGGTCCATTCACTGCCTGACTTCTCTGCTGGGAGGGCTGGGAGCCAGGACTCCTGGGTTCTTTCCCCGGCTCAAGGAGTGGAGTGGGGTCTAGTGGGGAGAGCAAGGAGGATGGGGGCCGGGACTCCTGGGTTCTGTGCACAGCACCACCACTGACTTGTAGGGGACTGTGCAAGTCTCTACTATACACTGAGGTTTATAACCTTCAGCTCCGCCCATCACCCCCTAACTGATGTGTTGTCTGGGAAAGGCCCCTCTGCTCTGCAGCTCCCCCTGGGGGCAGGGATCCCCCTCCCTCTGCCACAAATCTCCAGTGGCTGCTTCTCCCCCTGGCTGGGAACCCGAGGTGACTCCGTCCCTCTCCCTGGCAGGACGTCCCCTCTGCTCGGCCCAGGGCTAATGGCAGAGCCTATCTCTGAGCGTCCCATCAATGCAGAGACACCCCGAGGGT